CGCAGCCGCGTCGTTTTTTTTTTTTTTTTTAATCGCAAAAGCCGATATATTGTGTCTCATTCTCTGCAGATTTCTTTTTCACATATCATCTGGCGGACTTTCATTTGACCTTTAACGAGATTTTTATTTGTTGCATATTAAAGTCGCGCGTGCAGAAAGTTTAGAACGCGCATCTGCAGTGTCGTGCAATTTTGTAAAAGTCAATTCATCATTGCGAGAAAAAATTTCTCCAAGCTGTGCAATTAATTGAAATATTTTTGATAAATGATAGGATAATTGAGAAAGAAGCTCAATATTGAAATAAAATCAAAATTAATTGCGTTAAAATCGATCGGAAAAATTAAATCGACTACTTGTCATATCGAAACAGGATAACATTTCAGAAACGCTCTATATATACAGTTCCATAAATAAATATATAAACTGTCACAGAGGGTTCGCAATTTATATCATCCTTTCGATTTCTCCGTTCATTTTCTCGCCTCGACTTTGGATTACCCACATCTTGATAATATTAATAAACCCGGAGAAGACCGGGCGAGATTCGAGTTATCGATATTCTCGCGAGAAATCGGCAGAAATTTCGGCGGCGTTCACAACGGCGCGAAGTTATATCAACGGAAAATGGTGGACACAAGGGCGGGTCGGCTGCAGGGGTTGCGCGCGCCTCCGCAGATCAATATTTCATTTCAGCCTCGGCAACCTCCGACCCTCCCTTCGTTTCCCACCCTCTTGTCTTTTGCTTCCCTCGCGACCTCGCGTATCTGCGTCTCGCCATCCTTCACCCCATCGTGTTTTCCCTTGTTTCCCCTACCTGTTTCTGTCCCTCATTAGCCTTTTTTTTTCCTCTTCGCTTCAAGCCCCAATGACTCTGTCATCGCGCAGAACCGGATTGTTCTCCTCATGCGAGACATCCTGAATTATGATCGCTGATCGCTGCGGATCCTTCAAAATAGCCGGTTGATCGCTCGTGAAGAGCAGGAATGAAATTATCCGGGGGATTTAAATTGTCTCTCTTATACTCGCGGTGAAATAATCCCTCTCTTTCACGTGGAGTTCTCACGAAATTCGAGATTAGAAAACCTTACTGATATACGAAGTGCGACTCGGACGTGTAAAGTTTCCATCGCGAGATAAGCACATTGACCCTGGCGCCCATATTTTATATGACGATATCTCTCTAGCCGTTTCGTAGACATTGACGTAGAAATCCTCTTCGAGGAGGAAAAAACTTGTAGACAAATGATTCTCGTGTTCTGGTTTTTTTTATGTAGTTCTATACGAGAACACTCTCCAAATTGAGAGAAACAGAAGGGTACTTTTAAAAAAAAAATTTATCAAGACAGAAGACGGATCCTTAGCTTTGGCGACGTCGTCTTTAACCCAATTGTGATCTTACGATCGATGTTATATTATTATAGAGGCTACTGCGCGTCGCTTTCGCTCCACATTGTTTTAGTTATTCATTCGAACTGGGGTGTTCGCATCTGTTCTCCAGGAAGGAAAAGGAAGAGGAAGGAGGGTTGGGTGGGCAAAAGTGCTCTCGTTCGCACTTCTCTCGCAATTCCGACGTTGCGTGCCATTCAGCTGACCCTGTGTTCCTCCTCTTCCTGCCTCCGGGTTTTTCAGCAACAAGCATTTCCGTATACGGAAACATAATAATTATTATTGAATGATAATAAATAATAATTTAATATAAATATATATATATATATATTATATTTTTGATATATTATATATTATTAAATATAATTATTATTATAATTATATAGAATATATATTTTCAATAATAGCGCTTGACATATATCGAAATCTGCACAAGCGTCGATGAGTTTCTGTAATTAAAAATTACGCTTTGTGCTCACACTTTACCAACGAGACATCTCTTTTTCTACGTTAAAAAAAAAAAAACAATGTGTTAACTTGACTAAACCTTTCGACAAAATATTATTTTGTTTAATTGAACATATAAAAATATTTAAATTAAATATAACATTGTATAAATCTAACAAAACGTATATTTGATTTAAATACTATAATAATATTTGTTCGCTTAACAAAATAGTAATTTAGTTGAAAAGTTTAGTCAAGTCAACAAAGTTTTTTTTTTTTCAATGTAGCTGCAAAATTAAATTGGAATCGTATACGGAGTTAGTTTGTGAATGTCGGTTCTATAAAATTATATTTTCTAGGGTTTATTTTATTTTTAGATGAGTTGAGACAACAGAAAAGCATTGCTATATTATGCTAAGAAGATTACAAGCTGAAAGGATTTGAAAAACACAAATTTTTTCCAATAAGCAGGATTTTATTTGCGAATTTATGTACATGGACATATTCGAAAAACGTCAATATACGTTTTGAATAACGTTGCTTGAATAATTGTCGAGGCGAAGCTCGGCGAACTGATGCTATAAATTTTTAATTAACGATTTGTGTACATATATTTCAGAGGATGCGCGCGCGCAAAATAAATCGTTGCGAGGGATCAGAGTGTGTTGATATAAATTTATGGATGGACGGGATATGTTGTTCGCGTTTCAATAAATACAAAACCGTTATTTAACTCGACGCTCGCGTGCGATATATATATGCAGTTTCGAGAAGAAATTGATAAATTATCTTTCGGAAGAGCGCGAATATCTTTCGGCGCGTAAATATACGCTTGTGCAGACACGCCCGACGTACACGTTTCACTAAATATAGAGGCGAGTTACAAAACAGAATTTCTAGACACAAAGCAACGATATAGAAGCAATATATTCTAAACATAATTATCTGCAGATAGGAAATTGTAATGACGCACGTAACGCAATAGCACATATGAGCTTTGTACATTATAAATAATAATAATAACACAGTCAATTTTACATTAATAAATAATAATATTAACTATACAGAGAGGAGGGATTGCAATATACATATATTTTTGAAATTAGATACAACAAAAACATTATATATATATATATATATATATATATATATATATATATAAAATAATAAGTTATGTAAACATTGCTGAACTACCGAGGATTTCGTGCATGTAGAGACTGGAAATTGTGAGGTACATTATATTCGTTAGTTAATTATGAGAGAGAGAACATGCAATTCGTTACACGGGTTTAATTTTCGAAAGTATTAATATTATTCACGGAACGAATAATATGAATCCGCGGATATAGAAATTCGGACAGCGATTTCGAATTCGAGATTCGATTTGTCTCGCGGACGGATGGAATTATATATCGATTCGCATGCGATATTTTATCGGAGAGGCGAGAACGAAATTTGTCGTATATAATACCGATGTTCGGGAACGAGAAACAACATTATATCGAGTGCGCGATTTATTTATTGCGTTCTGTCCCGTTTAATTGAATAAACACTCCATTTATTAAATTTCCACGAGGATCAGATGAATACAGCTAAGTTAACATAGCTTCGTGTCGGGATCGTTGCTTTATGTGGTCGATGGAGATTTGAAATTTCATCACTGGATCATCAGCTGATGACAAACATTGTTTTCACAATTAGAGTAAAATTTGGGTAATAAGTGACAGCTCTATATTTAATATTAAAGTACGAATCTCTCGGATATCGGATTTTATTCAAGCCGATCTATGTATGCAGAAATTTAAATTTCTTAAATTCGCAAGACTTATCTCGTATCCTTGGACTTGCAGATATTTCGATTCGCGTATCCTTGACTTAACGTCGTGAATCATAGTATCTGGAGATGAAATATTTTCGGTCACACATCTCTCGATCATCGATTTAATTTCTTTTTTATTATAGGCAATAACGCTTTTGATCGAACATTAAGATACAATGATAAATACAATAAAGTTATTCCACGTCACGTTACGAAAATGGAGGGGTGCAAAAAAGCGGATTAATTTTTTATATCTTTTTTTTGCTCCAAATACAAGTCGTTGACGTCGGCGAAAAATCCCGTTTCGCGTGGGATCCTTTTGAGTTGTAGCGAAAAAAGAGACACGGTTCAACGATCGCGAGAAGAACGAAAGGGCCTTTATGTTAATTTGGGTGGATCTCTCAGACCCACCCAACTAACACTTTATTTTAGACCGGAGCGTTCCTCTCGCTCCTCAAATAGAAAAATGTCTTCTTCGGCTGCGTTATATCTCGAGCACCCTGCATAATTTACGACCACGCAATTTGCATTTCATGGATCTGCGTATGTCATGGACAATTAAGATCACCAAGTCATTTTTTTCAACATATAATTTTCAATCGCGTGTTTCCTCCAACAAAAAATTAACAAAACATATTTTGCCGCTGTACAATTCAAGTCTTAGAATATCGACGATTTCCTAAGGCAATTGCGACATCGTTGTAGTAATTAGTCGCGGTTTTGCGCGGAAAATCAACGAGAAGAACGACGCCGAGAGAGACGCAAAAGAGCAAAAAGAGCGAGCGAGTGCTCCTTCCAGGTTAATTTTCGCGTGAAATTACGAGGGAACTCGAGACGAGTTGGAGTAGTCGTAGTAATAGTAGTGGTAGTAGGGCAGAAAGGTAGACGGAGAATATATAGACAGGTCTTGTACGATTGACGGAGACATCCATGACAGACATTACAGACGTTTAACGCGCGCGAGTGAAAGAGAGAGAGGGAGACAAAGATGAATAGTCGTAGACGAAGGAAACGTTCGTGAGAGAAAGAGACAAACATGCAGTTCCGTAGAGCGGTTAAAGAGCGAGTCGAAAAATAGGATAGAAAAAAAGGCGAGAGTCGTCCTCGTCGTCGTCGTCGCGTGGTGCGCCGCGGCACGTCGCACGTCGGTCCCGGGGACACGATCGCACCGCCTGCCCCACCCAGCCTCGTCGCGCGGCCATGCCGGGGCCGCGAGCCGATCAATACTTCGGCTCGGGCACGAGGCGCGGCGAGCGCGACCGAGCGCCGCCGAGCGCGGCCGAGCGCGACCGAGCGCGGCCGAGCGCGACCGAGCCCCGGCACGAGGCGAGCCGAGGCGGCCACCGCGGGTGGCGTTGCCGGCTCAGTCGTTGTGCGGGAGTGGTCGCCGAGGGATGTGTGCATCGTAATCGCGAGTGCGACTGAGGAATAAAAGGGAGCCGGCGTTTGAGTTTTCGCTCGCGTTTCGCGCACACAGACACACATCCACTCTCGCTCTTCTTCTCTTTCTCTTGTACGTCTGTTTTTCGCAAATATACGTCGTCTGTCGGTTATACGGAAGTTCTTTCCTCGGCCCGTTCGAGAGCCGGTGCACGGATCCACGCGGATCGTGTGCTTCACTTCACTGTATTATTGTACAAAGGACTTATAAATCATAGGTAGGTGCGAACATTTTTCGCTTCTGCGTCGCACTTTTCATGTGCTTTCCCCTTCCTTCTTCCCCTCCACGTCCGTCTCCGCGTTTATGTGTGCGTGTGCCTTGTCTCTACGTATATCTTTCTCTCTCTCTCGCCTTTGCGTCTCTGCTCCGTCTTGCTCGCTCCCTCTCGACCGCACGCTATAACGCGCAGGTCGAGTCGGGGCCACTTCCACGCACTTCCTGTGTAACCGACTCGCCGCCGCGCCGGCGGTCGCTGCCGTTTCTCGATCGTTCGCTCCCGTCCCTTATCGCCGCTCTCTCGTGGGAATGCGCGAGCGAGAACCGGCTATCGATCTCCGCGGCTATCGAGTACTGCGTCGCAGAACGACGTCTCGACGCGTAATAGCTGGTACTGAACGCTTTTCCGCGTACGATCGATTCCTCTGGATGTATTCTGGATGTACGAGAGCGCGATCCCGATCGATCGTCGTCATCGCGATAAGCGGCGACGAGAGGCGTCGCCGTCGAGGAATGCGGCCGGGAATTTCGCTCTCGGCTCCGTGAAAGTAGCGCCGTGGCGCTATCACGGCTGGCTCCCTCTTCGAGGAATCGTTGGCCAGCTCGTGCGCGACCATAACCTCAAATTGGCACCGACTCGACGCGACGAATTATCTCTTATTCGCTGTCTCTCTCGCGCGACCTTTGTCATGACAGATTCGTCCCCTCTCGAGAATTTCTTACTTTATCTTGCTCTGAGATATCCAATTATCGTATGAAATTACCAAAGATTTCTTTAATCTTATCTTATACAATAATGGGATATAGAATTAATGAGAATTTGAAGAATTTTCTGGTATCTGTCATCAAATATTTTGACAGCTAGAATAAAATTCCATTGAAATTTTCATGGAGAAATCGAAGAAAAAATCTCATTCTCGAGAAATTAATTTCGTATATTATTAATTTTTAATTACTTTAATCATTCTGACAAGACATTTAATCAAATGGATTCCATTCTGATTCATCACTTTAATCTCGTACGATAACATCTTTTTTTATTGCTTTCGACTCATTAATTCCACATCAATTGATCAATTAACATTATAATTGTTCACCTTTTTTTTTATCGAAAGTAACGCGTAGATCGATCGACAGCCTTGAGATCTCGTTAAATACAAAGTCGTGTGTTCGTATTTTCAGACTGTATTTATAGTAACAGTTCAATGTTATTTCATGCATCTATTTCACGTGACTATATTTATTGCGACAAACGATGACGATCGATATCGACGGGGAGCAATTTTTAGAACGAGAATTGAAGAATTTTAATCATTGAATGCCGTTGCAGTTTTAACTAATCATTTCCTTTGACGCTATTGATTGTGAACGCGAGGCGATATTTTCGAACGAGAAAAGAAAATTATAGAATATTAATTTCTCTCTTCCTCTCGAGGTCTTTAATGTTTTGAATTTTATTGGGAGACGATTTCCAGAATTATTGCACACGATGGAGGAATAAATATGATAAGTGCTCGTCGCGTAACATCTTGAGTGCATGGGTATAGATATTAATTTTATCAGTTACCGTTTATCTGCACCTATATCACGTCATGCTTCACTTGGCTGATAACGCCAGGCTCTTCGTGTATTTACGTAAAGCCCCCGAGTTTGTACAAAAGTCGCAATAGAATCTCCGATTCTTCGTTTTCAGTTCGTCAAAAATCGCGACTTATCGCTAAACCATGGCAACAGATTGATAATTGGTTTATAATATAATTATAAATGCTAAAAACAAAAAACCGATAAATTGCTTCAGCAAAGCTTGCAGTTAATTGCAACATTTATATTACATAATAGTTCAATTATTCATATGTAAATGCTAATTATTAGAATAATATTCTGTTATTATCACTTTTTATAATATATTATTAATGTGAACGCATATGCACTTATAATGTAATCGCGTGAACAACGCGTGTTTCACTTTGAATTTTCCAATTATTTTAATCACATTTCCGATGAACTGTTCAATATTTTTCAAGATATATGTTTTAAAATTATCTCTTAATTTTAATGATAAATTTTGATTAATTACTAGAAATGTGTATAATCTAACACGATTGACAAATATTTTTCATGTGATTTATTTTAAGAAATTTGGCAAATGAAAGAAAAGATTACAAAAATAGTGCTTAAAATTGTTTTTATTTAAAAGTAAACTTTTGATCAATATTGAATATTATTAATATTATATTTTTATACATTAATATTTATTTAATACTTGGTTATATTTCTATCAATGTTCGCCAAGAAATAGTTAATTTATGCGACGCGGTCGTCCGATATTAATGAATCCTGGCGCTATCGCGTGAGTATGGCAATGACGATTTACTCGGAATCGGCAGCCTCGTTGGGCATTCATAAAAGCTTTCGCAAAAGCGTCGATTACCCACGCGTGACGGCCAGCCACATTCTTTTCCTGTGTCGAGGCGGAATGGGAAAAGTGCATTTACTTTCAGGATCGATTCAACATATTTCGTCAGAAGGATGACGGAATAGAAATTCGGATTGCGCCAAACTGCGACACTATATAATTCAAACAATTCATTTCACGAAACAGTTGTCGAAATTTATAACTCTTTGGATTATAATCAACGGAGAGTTTTTAAATATTTTTTTTAGGCAACTTTGCTGCTAATTACGTGGTAATTATATTCGTTTGTAACATACAGAAATGAATCTCGTTTATTATTAATAATGATTTGACATAAAATTGCAAAAATTGGCGCATTTTTCATGTTTTTTTACGCGATATATTAATGATATATTTATGCTAATAATGATAAGACAAAAAATTGTAAAAATTAGCGTATTTTTCATATTTTTTACGCGCGATGTATTAATGGTATATTTATGCTAATGATATAAAATTAGCGCGAGATAAATATACTCAATGACAAATTCAAGTGTAATGAGGAATTGTTGTTCAAATAAAAAAATGTCGCCATTTTTCGAAATATCGATAATTTCGATAAGGATTGGATATATCGCGCCCAAAGCGATCTCGGGATAATCTTGGTGAGAATTGGATCAACTTTGCGCGCGCGCGAGAGAGAGATGCGTTCCGCTTTGCGAGAAGCTTCTACGCGCCAGAAATATTTCGACGACGTCGTGTAGACTCGGTAACATCGTCGTCGTCGTTCGCTAAACTCACCGAAGCCAGGTGCGGATCGCACGCGATTAAATATAGGACGTCGAATAACATCTACTTACCTACTCGTTCGCCCAATATTTCCGTCCGTGTTATATTTCTTTGTCAGACTTCGTCTTCCGGCTCTCCGATAATCGATATTTATTATATTGCCGCTATTCGATACACTTCAGTTCAGTCGCGGAATATTGTATTAAATAGATTATATTGTATATGAAATAGATTTTGAAATTAGAGATATGCGAATATGTTATCGCGAGATCGTCTACCTCTCGAGAGAAACCGCGTGCCTCGCATATATGCATCTTTATATATGTAATTTACTCTTCACGTTCTCACGGGTAATTCGCAGTTCTTTTACCTTGATTGTGGTGTGTTACAAAGTTCTTTTAGCCGTGCATTCTTTTCCTAATGAATTGCGATTTTTTATAATTACCGAGGGAAATTTACATCAGTTGTAAATTGGAAAATGACTGTTTTGATTCATGAAATTCAATCTACAGAATATAAAAATGGGAAAAAATTTATATCACTGAAACTATATAATTAGTATTTTATTCTTTCGAACAAGAAAAAAATAATGATGAATTTTTATCAAATAAAACAATATTTTTGATATAAAAATATCGTTTCCATACTGGACAAATGCATACTAAATTTATTTGGAAATTTTTTAGTTTAATTATATTCATCAATCTCTGCAATTTCTTTTATTTTATCGACAAAACTGCTCAAGTTAATCAGGAATGCTATTTTCTCCTTCTCCGGTGCATCTCGGGAGAGAGAGCGGCGAATGTCGCGAACCGGAAGTGTTATTAATGAGACCGGATCTCGGATCTTTTCGTCGGTCGTGGCACGGAATTTCTTTCGCAGTCACTTTATAAAAGAATCTTTCGCTCGTCGTCACCGCTTAAATGTGGAACGTGGGTAACGTCGGTGTTAATCCGAATTTATTGCCTCGTCGTGAATTTATTACCAGGGAGCCGCGAAAACGGAGGAAGATTTATGGATCGTCAGTATTGAAACGAAATTTCTGAAACTCCCCGAACGCTTAAAAGTTGACAATTGATCTACACAGAATAATTTATAGATTTCAGAATTTAAAAAATCGAATTTTAAAATCGAGTGTTAGAGATAATCTTTTGGCATTTAATGAAATGCAAAAACAAAGATGTATTAAAAATCTGTATAATTTGTTTAAACGAGATATTTTATTGAAGATTTATTTGAGATGGGATCTGAAATTCTTTTATTGTGATATACAAGATTTGTAACATTTAATATCTGTAAAATGTAATAATATTTTTTGGCATTTATAAAACTTAGAAGTCAAAATATATATACACAGTCAGAAAAAGAGACTAGGGAGATCTGCGACTTTAAGGAAAAGAGCATACTTGATACCGATGACTTATATAGATAGCAATTTATAAAACGCGAACAATGTTACATTTACACAATTGTTCGATAAAGGATAAATCATCACAGAAGAATTTCGCTATTTTTTTCACACGGAATTTCTCGCGACACGACATTATTACGAGGCAAAAATTGCACGCTCGATAGCGATCGACGCATTATTATCGCGTTTCTTTTCTCTCCGCCTCATACGACAGGTGACACGGCCGATATTAACTTCCGGCATTCTTCGATTCTCCTTACTTGACGACAATTATTCGATTCACTGAAGAAGAAATGTTCTTAGTCATATACGATTAAATGCAATTGCACTTTGACTTATTTAATCATTGCACGAACAGAATCATATGATTATTTTAATACCAAAACAGCTGGTCACACGAATTCCT